TATCCATACTACGTACACTACAGACAGTCGGCAAACGTGCATACACTAGCTATTATAAAAAGCTGCGTTTGATAGCTAGAGTAGATGCAGTAACATCGGTGAAATTTCTGAACTCTTACGATGTAAACAAACTCAAGTCTATGAACATATGTGTTGCGTGGCAATGGGTGCAATCTTCCGATCTGCTCAATCTACGAATCTGCCGACTGTGTGGCATTAGCATCATTGAACTCGCACCTAAAACCCACGATGGTAAACCTGCTGCAAACCCGGGCCTGCGCAATCTCATCGAACTAGCAATTAACACAACCCCAGCTGATAAACCTGTCTGCAAAATCGGGATCCACTTACTGCTAATATCTATTGCAATAATAACACTATAGCCAATGTAAAATCGGTTGATTGTGCAGATCGGCAGATTACACGCAACACGTGTTCGCTCTTTTTGGAACTGAAATGGCCGACGGCACAGGATTGTAGGTAATATTGCTATTTTTAGTGCAAATCGCGGAACCCTCTATAGAAGATGAAGGTTGGTTGGCCGCCAGCGCCGGGTAATGCTATCCCCCGGGCGTGGAGGGAGGTGACCGCAACGTGGCAGCACTAGTGTTGGGATAGTGTTAGGATTAGGGTTAGGGTCAGGGTTAGAGTTAGGGTTAGGGTTAGAGTTAGGGTTAGGATTAGGGTTAGGGTTAGGATTAGGGTTAGGGTTAGGGTTAGGGTTAGGATTAGGGTTAGGGTTGAGGTTTTTGCATCATGATATCTGTCCCCACACCATAGATTAATTTTTGTGGATCGCAATGCCTATATATAGCTCGGCGATACATAGATATTTAGTGTGAGCGTTGGTGTTGGCGGTGTTGGAGTGAGGGTTAACGTTTTGAACGTCATCGTCAACGTTATCACGTGACCTCCCTCCACGCCCGGGGGATAGCAACACCCGCCAGCGCCCGCGGTACTAATACGACGGTGATTGCGTGGCAGTGACTGGCAGCTAAGCACGGAGGAATTACGAGGCACGTCTCTCTCTCTATCTCACTCTCTATCTCTATCTCTCTCTTTCTCTCTCGCTCTCTTTCTCTCTCTATCTCGCTCTCTCTCTTTCTCTCTCTCTCTCTCTCTCTCTCTCTCTCTCTCTTTCTGTGTCTTCAATATAGTCCCTTGGACATTATGAAGTTATGCGGTTATAACAGAGGGTGGTGAGTCGTGACTATGATCTTGATCTGATGTGGCCTTGGCTCATAAAAAGTTATATTAATAAGCTTTCATATCTAATTGTGATTTTAGGCTACAGTATACCCTATAATCAGTGTCATTGTGACCTGGAAGTGCACTGGTTGTTGCGTTACTCTTAGGCAGTGCAGGTTGTAGGCTATACTCATCTCACAATGTACTCAGCTAAATATAAATGTTAATATTACCTACACTTGATTTTAGTGTTTCTAACTGTGCTTCTATAAATTTACAGATTCCAAAATTGGAAAGCACACGTGCATTGAATTTGAACACCGAACATTAGTCTTAGAGCGAGTTATTTTCTCATAAAACACAAGGAATGGCATTGATGCTTGGAAGGATAGCAATTGGACAGAGGTGTCTCAGCAGTAGTGCTTCAAATGTGTTTGAATGCGTATTACTTAAACACAATGTACGATTGTGTAGCACAAGACTACCTAAAAGTGCAAGTAATCTCGATAATGATGGTCAGTATAAATTCCTATTAATTTATGATAATTATACTTAGTGGTTTAATCTGTAGACTGATAGTGATATTTCTGATCTTCACACCATAAATATTATTAGCTTTATCATAAAATGTGTCTTACACATGTCATTATTCTTGTAGTTGTCCTGTTTAAAAAATGAACACCATGTTGAGGTAATTACCAGTTATTATTCATTTCAGATTGTCAGCCATTTGTTGAGCCTGGCCACTCACCAACTGTCCAGGAGTCTCAATCAATCAATGACGCTGACACGTTTGGAGTCCTGGATCCGAAATTTAGAGAAAAGTCTGACCAGGAAATGTTTCGAGGCATCAAAAATAACTTTCGCAACAAATCTCAGCATCAAAAAATATGTAGTCATCTACTAAAAAGAAAAACCCAAATTGAAAATGAGGCGAGCGATTACCAAGTACAGGATGAGCGAGGCACTACAATACATGATCCATCTACCAGCAGCCACCCAGTATCCCAGCACTTTCAGAAACATGCTCACAGAAAGTTTATCCCTGCTCATGAGTTGGCATCATCTGATGCGGCCAGAGATTCCAACGACAATGCTGAATGGGAAATGAACTCTTCTCACAGCCGCAGTCCCGGACAAAATGTGCATCTGCAGAGTAGAGCTGAGGATGAATCAACTCGTGATACTGCTGACACCTCAGCTGATTTGTTTGGAGAGTTGGTAGAAGATGAATTTGAGCGAGCAGCATTGTTTGGAGATGAGAAAAGGGGTGGAGCGGAACATGATGATGATAAGAAGGAAGCCACCAGTGTGATACCCGAAGGCTTACGCCGAAAGAACATTCGACACTGGGAGAAACTACTCGAAAAATTCCTAAAGAGAGGAATGGTAAGCAAATTTAAAAAAGGATCGCAAACAGTATGAGTGCACATCACTCGTGTGATGTGTAGTGACACGTTGCAATGTTGCCAATTTATCTACTTATTTAACTGTTGTGATCTCTGTCTAACTGCTGGGGTTTTTTCTTTATATGTTTTCTTCAATAACAACAGGTGAAGGAAGCCGTTGACATGTTAGAGGTTGACTGTCTGAAAGTGCGGCACATACATCCAACAGTGTTTATGTACAGTACTGTGATAAGTGCCTGTGGAAAAGTAGGTTATGCTGATAAGGCCTTCAAACTTTTTAAGAATGTAAGTAGACCACATTTATTTGATTGCTCTATAGCCATCTATTGCAACTGACTTTTCAGCAAAAAAATCCAGGGCCACATTAAAATTAATGACTGAATAATTGCAAATGTTTATAGATATTTCGGAATGATGTACCTTTCAGAATGTATAGTTATCTAATATCAAGAATGTTTTTCAATCGTTTCTATTCTTTATTGTTAATATCAGGAGTGAACCTCAACAAATGCAGTGAGCATGCAGCGTTACAGCATGCAGTGAGGCATTCTAATCATGCTGTAATATTAGTAAAATGAGAATATAATAGGTGAGGAGGAAATTTAATGATATGCCACAAACATTTATGTATACATCTAGATGAAGGAGAGAGGGTTGATCCCAAATGACCACATCTACACAGCCTTGTTCAACGCTTGTGCCATTTCACCATTCAATGATGATTCCCTGCGTAGGGCAAATTATCTGAGGCAGGTCATGTTTCAAAAACAAATCGTTCCAAATCAGAAGACCTACCATGCAATGATTAAAGGTAAATCTAACTTCATAAACATGAGTACCAACAGCACTGTGATGTAGATTGAAATTTATATTTCTGTAACAGATGTTTATAGAGCACACACACCACTGAATGCTAGAAATTTCCCGAGAACCCAAAACGTTCTACTTCTTGATATTATTGAAGTTGCTCTGAAATGTTAGCAGTGCGCCAGTGTATTGTATTATCGCTTATCAGCTTACACGTGTATACAACGGACTCTGGCGACTTTTGCCTTGCGGGAATTATCACACAAATGTCTCACCTGTGTTTTTAGTGAGGTATGGGTACGAATAATACAATACACAGGCGGTGAACTAAAATGCTGCTCTTTTGTCAGCCTTCTCGATGAAGGGAGACATGTCAACAGCCTTCCAGATTGTAGATGAGATGCTGGAAGCTGGAATGATGCCAAATGAGGAAACATATAATCATCTTCTGCTTGCTTGTCTGGGTGCACGTGATGTTGGATTTAAATATGCCATACAGGTATCAGAGCAACATACATTTAGATAGAGTAGGCTTTAATCTCATAATTGGCCATTTAGCGTTTAGCAGCATTATTATCCACTTTTAATCTTCTTTATTGAGTGACTAATCTCTTCAGTAACATTAACAGTTGTAGTTTAGGAGGTTATGTTTAGGTCAGGATAACTAGCACATGTTGGTAGTTTTCCTTACTAATTGTTATTGTATTCGGTTGTGATTGTAGATTTTTAATAACTGTTATGGTGGACTATACTTTTGACAGGTGTGGAGAAAAATGGTGCGGCAGCGTGTTAAACCAACACTTCAGTCCTACAACATTCTGCTTGGAGTGGTGCGTCTGTGTGGCTTAGGTGATTCTCAGTCAGCAAATAAACTGCTAGAGCTGGACGACGTGGTGAGCAAAGCAAAGGATAATAAACGGTTAGAAAAGCCCAGGATGGTAACAGTGGAGCCTGTGTCATATGATAGCACGTTGCAACGGGGTCACACATCCAGCGTGGAAACTAGTGACAGGGATCCCACGTTGACGGCAAGTTACACAGCATCAGACATTGGAAGTCACTCGGTAGATGGTGGAACTCAGGATGAGGTTGGCAGGACTAGTAATGAACAAAATAACTTGCACACAAGGTCCTTGGAACCAAAGAGCTGCGTAGCACTAGCAAAGGTAACATTGTTTGGCTCGTCTTTCTTCAATAACAAAAGTATAATGTTAACGAATAATAATGAATATTCAGTTCAGTTATTGGTTTTATCATGTTTCATGTGCTGTTGTTCATTAGCGTTTGTTTGACTGTTAGTCAAAGTTGGAATGCCAATGCTTTCACATACTTTTAATTGAGGTGCTGTATATATCATACTGATATGATCTGATCTTCATTGATCTGTAAATTGATTTTTCTTCATGTATGCTTGGATGGCGGGGAACAGTCTGCTGATCTGGAACCAAAGTTATAATCGAAATCTGAGACAGTTACTGATTATTGCATGCAGATGAAGCTTCCGAACCTCCTCAGTCCGTCGCTGACGGATCTACAGGATGTCGTCTCCATTGGGGCAGTGAAAACTGCACAGGACAGACTCATGTTGCTCGGTGAAATGGCAGGCTTTCTCAAACATATGCGCAAAAACAAGGTGCAGCCAGACGATAGGACCTTCGTGAAGGCGAGTATGCTTGTTAGTTACCGTGCGTGCGTGCATGTATATATATGTGTGATATCATATCTGTTCATGTGTGAGTGGGTGTGTAACGTTGAATTAAGAGTTCATGTAGAAATGATGAAGTAGAAATCCAAACTTGTGTCTTGAACTGCATAAACTTTAATATCTGCTCACGTCACATCTCCTTGCACACAGGGACAAAGCAACGCGCACAGGCGCGTAGGCACGTGCGCTTTCTCCCGCGACCACAACTAGCCTCCTCCACTCCTACATCTCTCTCCCTCCCCTCAATCTCTCCTAACCTATATATTATCCTCAAAACCCCTACATCCTGAGCGCACATGTCACCCGTTCTCCCAGACCCTGTCCTACCCCCATTTCACAATGACCCTAGAAACGCCCGACCTAAAACACGTTTACCATTCTCTCTATAACATCAATCTAGCCGCACAAGATGCGCGACGCTCTGTCTACATAGACTACCACTAAAACAACCCCTCGTCTAGCTCCGCTGACTAATTCATGCAACATTTGTAAAACATATGTTACAGGTGCATGTGTGAGTGCATCTGTGTATGCATTTATGTGTGAATCAGTAGTGTGAGCATACGTTCCTCTCATCAGAATGAAATATTGTGTAGACCGTTCAAAGACAGACCAAAAATGATTCATGATGTTATGATATTCATAATAAATGATGTACAGTTGATTTGTAGCACATCCACTAATCGTGATGGGCATGCCCCTTGCAGGATCTGCTGTCATATCAGTATCCTGTTATAAGCAATATGCAGGTGGACATGTGGCAATAAAGGTCACCTAGGGTAAACTCTCCAATTATTTTTCCATATGCCCCACATTTTCTGGTGTCAGGGTAGGTATGAATGCGTTCCTACCTCGTTTTACTTCTCTCCTTACCAAATACGTATAACAACAAGTAGATCTGTCATCGATTGACAAACAAATACTACCAATTAACAAGGTTTATTGTTCTTTCTTGATCTATAGACTCTCCTGAACCTTGTTAACAGCAGCCTTACTGTTTAAATTGACTATGTCAAGAATTTTCTGTGGCGTATATTTGTAAAAATTTTGTTGCAATTTTTCTACATGAAAAGTAAGTACTTACGGCACTAAATGTATCCTCAAATTCTAACCTGATAAGATTGTTTTTCAAATAGTTAAAAATCAAAAAAATCTGGGCGATTTGATATATTGATTACAACATTAAATGCTTACTTTGGGCTATGTATGTATGAGTCGCGCGTGTTTTTCTTCACATCGAACGGAATAGCAAAATAGGAATGCAGCAATTTAACCATAGAAAATTTACAGAATCACTTACATTTTGTGAAAAAGTTGACAATCTTTTTACCTTTACTATTTTCGGTGACGTAATCAGCTGGTGGAGATTATCCCCTCGGATTCAGAAACAGAGATGGCTCTGCTGAGTTTCATGGAGAGTCACAAGGTCAAGCCAACCTTGGAACTCTTCAACTGGCTGATTAGAAAGCGCAACTATCGGAACGACTTTGAGAGTGCGAAGGTGCGAGAATTTGCATCAAACACTACAATTTTAATAATCGTATCCCCCACGACGAAGTCGGCGGGGATACTATGGTTTCATGTCTGTCCAGCCGCCGCCGCAAACACTTTCTTTTCCGCTCTATAACTTGACCCTTAATTGACCTAGCGTGACCAAACTTTGTATACTTACACATCTTGGGGAGGTGTGTCGCTTATCAAAACCAGGTCACTGCGACCTTTATTTGACCTTGACCTTGATCATATTTTCCTTCTGCTCTATAACTCGGCCCCTAATTGACCTCGTGCGAGCAAACTTGGTATACTTACACATCTTGGGGAGGTCTGTCGCGTACCAAAACCAGGAAATATTTCATTCATACTAGATTGCGGGGATACATGTGATTGGCGACAACTGCCATTTCTAGTTGCATCTGTGATTCACCATAAATAGAGGTAGTGATATCCTGATGATCGATTATAATCGAAAATCGATCGATTATAGTCTCAACTTCGATAATCGATTATGAAAACAAATAATCGATTATCGGAAATACCAAAACAAACAAACAAGGAACTGTACTCAGGATGTGTGAATTGATATGACAAGTAGAGCACAAGTCCTGCAGGGGCCTTTTGTCAGAAACATCGTAAAGTTAATGCTAATGTTAATGCTACGAGAGTAGCGTTGACAGAAACACATCGTAGCTACGAGCAAACTCACGATAACAGGAACTTCATAATTTCATGTCACAAGGCTGCTGATTAGATGAGAATCGATCACAAAATTCAAATTCATACACATTAATTGTAGGATATTCCATTGGCAGGACATTAACTCGGCTACACAGCCTACACTATTAGAACACAAACAACTTACTTACTATAATAAAGAACAAGTCTTGATCATGTTTGTTTAAAACATTTAATGTTTTAATAAAGGCATTTAAACCATTTCTTTTTAAATTGATTAAATACTGTATAGGAACAGACATTGATATACATACAGCAACCTTCACAGAGTTAATACATGATCATAAAACATGATAATATTGAATGCTATGTATAATTATATATACAAAGTAAGATTAAATTAAATCTAAGCTATTATTAACCGATTATCCGATTATAATAGATTATCGATCGGTTAAGGGAAACCGATAATCGATTATGAAATTCCAGCCGATTCCCATCACTAAATAGAGGTATAAAATGTTAGAAAGTTAAAGATTATGCATTCAGGCTGACTGATAAGTAACAGATCAACAGTAAACAATACAGCAGCATTGAAAGTTTTAATCTTTCGAGTTTGTTTACCTTTTAGGAAGTACTGGCTCTAATGCATCAGCATGGTTGCCATCCTAACATTGCAACCTTTGGTTCGCTCGCGACTGGCTGCAGCAAACAGTCACAGGCCCTGCAACTGTTGCAAGATATTGATGTAAGTTAGAATGCAATTTTAACCCCTTATATTAATTGTGTTGATAACCTCCGTGCCCTGCTCCTGTTCTTGTTAGGTTTCCATTTGAGGGGCAGATGTAGGAACTGTGGATGAAAGGCTTCCAGTGAATGTGAAGTGTAGTGAATGTGGGAGGGGGAGGTAACTCCTCCCATTTTTTAAAGAAATACGTTTAAAATCTGATGGCTTTGGGCAATGTTTTGTATTTTGGAATATTGTATTCCACTTCAGCTGATGCTTATATGATTATATGCTGTAAAGATCAGGCCAGCAGTGATTAAAGAGTGGTACTGAGCCCCTGGTCTGCTCTGCATCCAGCCTCCTTAACTTGGAACGCAGTCTGCATGCTCATGTTTATTTCCGGCTCGCCTCGCCTGCCTTGCAGCTCGCTGGCATGAGTCCAAACATCGAGATCCTTGGGGCGCTGATCCACAAGGCCTGCATGGCGAAGAGCTTCTTCTACCTAATACGGCTCTGCAGGCAGATGGACAAGCTTGATATCGCGCCTGACAAGCGCTGCATAGTCGACATAGAACAGCTGATCCACTATACAAAGTTCAACATTGTTCGAATGGTGAGATGAACCAGGGCTTAGTGATTAAGAATAATTACACACTGTATCTGCTTGTTTTCACGTTGCAGGGTTTTCAATGGGAGCAGATATTGCTAGAGGTCTAAGGTCCATATAGTCTCATGCACAAGGGATTCATTAATTAGACAGCTACAATTTGATGGCTGACGTCTATGTAGCCCCATATAATTAGTTATGCAACAGCTTGGGTTTTGCTAGTAAGTAGAAACTGCCAGAACGTCGATGTAGTCTTATAGATTACCAACGATTTCATTAATCAGCAACAATTGTTAAGTGGCTGACATCTATGTAGTGTCATAGAGCTACTTATCATCAGTAGGCTGGTGCTGTTGGAGGTTTGATGTGTGCTTGGTCTTATACAGGAGGGCTTTCTCCGCAGAGTAACTACAGCTTAAATGTGTCATTGATGTGGCCAAACATAGTTTGATGTCCTGACATTGTACACCTTAATTCCACTTTAGGTCGTTCAATAGTCATGAATAGCTAGCTACACGGATGTGAGTGTAAAAGTTATTTAATAACAACAGGAGCGAAGGTAGTGTGCTACACGTTGAGAAGGAGAAGCCAGTGCAAGGTAAGAAACAAGTACGCAGATGTGACACCACCTTTGCCTCCTCCTCCTCTTCTGGCTCCTCTTGCTCCTCCGCCTTCTCTTTCTCCTCATCTTTCTTCTTCATGGTCTCATACAGTTACGTAATTTTTGCCTTGCAGGAGAAGGGGATGCCAGTCCCCAGTGTGTACCGGAAGCCCTGGTTGAAGGACGGATTTCGTACGTTCATGCTGTTCTACGCTGAATGGCTCGTGCAGACGTCTGTGCGTGTGGACCCTCATCCGTGGGACACCTACAGACGCAAGGAGGATGAGCCGGTCACCGAGCCATCAGGCCGACTCATGCGCCAGCACTATGAGGCATTGAACAGCCTGGAAGATGCACACAGGGAGACACACAGAGAGAAGCATCTGCAGCCAGCACCAGCGCAGCCGCGCCGGCAGGTTGTCAGGCCGACCAAGCAAAAGTTGCTTCATCAGAAGGCTAGGAGATAGCCTTATGTAGTGCAGTAGACTACAATATCTCAATATTCTTATTTAAAGTATTAGTCACTGATCACGTGATCACAATCACTGATATGTGTAATTGACTGTAACTTCTCATTTTCGCACTATAAGGCTAGATAAATTTGAAACTTATTACTTTTACAAACAGTTTATAAGTACACAATCACCTAGCTCTAGTACTATAGCCCGCGTTCGATTAACTGCCGCAGGGCTATAGCACATTGTCGGCTGGAAACACCAACTACGACCTGTTACCACCTGTCCCCATGAAAAATGGATCGCAAAACGCAAAGTTATCGGGCTTTTTAACACTTATTTATCTACATGGACATCTCACCTATCCTTTTGAACACTTTCAACAACTTTACACCATGTATTTGTCCTTTTATTCCACAAAGTAAGCACTACTGGCATTTCATTTTGAAACGAAGTGGCGTGCGCACGCGTGACGTTACCGGATGTGTACGCAAAACACATGGCTAGCTATGGGGCATGTATATACAATACGGTGACGGTCTTCGGCGTGCCGCACGCCACTTCGCTTTCAAAATTGAAATTCCAGTACTGTTTACTTTGGTGGAATAAAAGGACAAATTACATTGTGTGTAAAGCTTGTTGAAAGTCGTCATAGTAGTACCACAAAAGACCCTACCTCAGACGTGAGATTGCTCATTGTAGATAAATAAGCTGTTAAAAAGCCGCGATAACTTTGCGTTTTGCGATCCAGTTTTTCATGGGGTACAGGTTGGGTAACAGGTCGTAGTGGATAATTTCCAGCGCGACAATGTGCTATAGCCTGCGCCAGCAGTAATCGAACGCGGCGCTATAGCTACTTAGAGCTACACAATACACCTACGTGTAAAACTCTACCTAGTCAAAGTAGAATATAGAAATAAAAGATTTTGTATCAAATCATATGAAAGACTAATCACAAGTTTTCCTTTAAAATTACATATATGCTTAAGTATTTTATTTATTCAAATTATTCAATATACTCTCTTATTAGTAGTTTTGCGGTTAATACTTAAATAATGCAATTTATGATGAGGCCAATGCTTTAATTCTGCAATTCGCATCTTTAACTTAATAATTCTGCCTCAGCATGAAAAGTATTATATGGTCATACAAAAGCAATCAAATTAGAAGAGAACTCTAAAATATGTGATGAAATCTGGCATGCTTATGTACAAGTAATCTATTCAACACCTCAAATAAATTTATGTTTTATCAATGATTTTGTCTTTGTTCTAAATGTCATACGAAACCGTTTACTAGAATAAGCCTGGATTGCCAGCTACAAACCACCAGTGTTACCACGCTGTATGACACACTTCATACAACAGCTTTTGTAGTATAGAAACACTCGCAAATAAAGAGGTGATACTTTTCCACGTATATGACCCACTGATCTCTATAATAATATCTATCTCTATATCATGATATCTCTATATAATGATATTATTATAGAGATCAGTGATACGACCACGCTATAAAATGCCAGCACTAAACATCGGCCTGGCAAAAGCAGCATTCTGAGCATGTGGCACAGCAGGTTTGACTGCCCTCATGAAATGCCCAGGAAAATTGCAATAAAGTTCTTAGTATGGCACCACAAGATAAACCACTCATGCGAAATCACGATGCAATGACGCTGTAGCTACGCAATGAGCGCCACCGTCCGCCATTTTAGGAAGCAAAACCGCTCGCTGTATCTGTTTGCATACATAGAAATAATATGGATAACCATGGCTTTATATATTATATGTATATTATAATATTAATGTAATAGCATGAAATATTTTGTATGCCAATAGCTGTTATCAAAAATCTCTCATTCAAATGTGTACAAAAATCTAACAATGATTCATAATCGGATGTTACTATGTAGTATGCTACACAGTGCAGTGCCAGCTGTGGTGTAGGCGAATGTGACTTATACGCCCAACGGCGGAGTTCTAGAAGCGGAGAAGGTGGTGGAGGAGCGGGAGAAGCTGGTGCGGAAGAAGGAGGGGAGAAGCTGGTGCGAAAGGAGGAAGAGGAGAAGCGAAGGGGAGAAGGGAGGAGCTGGTGGAGAGAGGAGGGGAGAAGCCGAGAAGGGGAGAAGGGGAAGCTGGCTGGAGGAGGAGGCTGGCAGAAGCGGAGAAGGGGGATTGAGGAGCGGGGAGAAGGAGCTGGTGAGGAGGAGGGCGGAGGAAGCGAGAACGGAGGATAATGAAGGGGAGAAGGGGAGTGCGTGGAGGAGAGCGGGCGAGAATGGCGAGAATTGGGATAAGAGGGGGAGAGGAGCTGGTGGAGAAGCAGGCGGGAGAAGCGTGAGAGCCCGTTGTGGAGGGGCGAGGAAGCTGGTGGGAGAAAGGAAGCGAAGGCGGAGAAGAGAGAAGTGTGGTGGAGAAGTGAAAGATGGGAGAAGCTGGTGGAGATAGGAGGAGGGGGAGAAGCTGTGGTGGAGGAGGAAGGGGAGAAGACGGACGCTGGTGTGAGCGAGGATGGCGCAAGAAGGGAGAAGGTATGTGCGCAGCGCAGGGGCAGAACGCTGGTGGAAAAGGAGGCGAGGGGGAGAACGAGAAGAACGGGGAGTGGTGGAGGGAGGATGGGAGAGCTGGTGGAGGAGGCAGGGGGAAGAAAGCTGGTGGAGAAGAGCAGGCAAGGAGAAGCTGGTGCGAGAATGGAGGAGTTTTTAGAAGGGAGGGAAGCGTGGCTGCGAGGAGGGGGAGAAGCTGGTGCCGAGAAGAAAGCGAGCGGTGAGAATCTGGTGGAGAAGGAGCCGAAGAGAAGGAGCCGCGGAGTCAAGGGGAGCTGCGGCTGCGAGGAGCCGAGGTGTAGAAAAGGGTCGAAGAAGCGGAGCTGAGTGGATGAGGAGAGCGGGAGAAGGGAGAAGCGGGATAAGCGAAGCGCCGGAGAAGGGAGCTGGTGGAGGAGGACGGGGCGAGAAGGGCCAGAACGGGGATAAGGAGGGGAGAAGGGAGCTGGTTGGAGGAAGGAGGGGAGAAGGGCAGATAGGTGTGGAGGCAGCGGGATGCAAGCTGCTCGTGGAAAAGGCAAGGATAGGGCAGAAGAGAGAGGTCGGTGGAGAAGGAAGATGGAGAAGCTGGTGCGAGAAGAGGCTGCGGCGAGAAGCTGTGGAGCGAGGAAGGGCGCAGCCAAGCTGGGGGAGGAGGAGGGGACGAAGCTGGTCGTAGCTATCCCTCCTTCTCCACCAGGCTTCTCCCTATCCTCCTTCTCCACCACCTTCTTCCTTCTCCCCTTCCTCCTTTCCACCAGCTTCTCCCTTCCTCCTTCCTCCACCACCTTCTTCCCCTTCCTCCTTCTCCACCAGCTTCTCCCCTCCTCCTTTCTTCCACCAGCTTCTCCCTTTCCCCTTCCTCATTTCCGTAAGCCATATCTGAGTCGGCATACGCGCCGCCGTGCGTATAGCCCATATTGAATCTTTATCCACACGTTGCAACCGCCGCTGCGTTATTACTGTATAAGTCTCGGCCGGTGGTGTAGTGTCAGACAGTGGTACAGTGCACACGGCCACTTCACTTGGACTAGGCTCTCAAAGCAAATAATGGTAATTTAAACACTAAATGTATCTTACTATCAAAGTATTATTGTTTCTCTACTCTTATTTCGCCTATTATTGGTCGATAACTTGCCCTGTAAAACCGTTTAAATGCTCATCTGCAACCACACAAGCTAGTGAAGTACACGCACGTTACGCCCTGTGCCTACAAACAACACTGCCACTGCGTACTACATGTATCAACAAAGATTGCACAACTCTTTCACGATGGATTTCGACAAAAAAAAATGTTTTCTCACCTTCGATTCTTAGCGAGGAACCTGAAAGAAAGACACGGTCGGGCTTACACTGCGATTCGAGCAATTTTACAGCAGCAACAGTAAGCTGAGCATGGACAGACACACAGCACCACAGTTTCACCAGCTTTAGCAGACTACAGCCAACATCCGGGAACTTCGGTGTGAACTTGCTTCCCAAAATGCGCGGTTGTTGGCGACACCATGACCTTACTACGCTATGATTGGATGGAGCAGTGGTCTATCTTGTGCCTACGGCCACTCTAGACTCTTTGGTAAGCGACCAAAGATTCTAGAGTGCCGTAGGCTACGATCTTTGGTAGGCACAGCAAGCACAGCCCACTGCTCCTCGTCCACCAATATGTTGCCGCCACAACTCAGCAGAATAAACAGAGCACCCTGATGGCCAGAATGCCCCACGTATCTGACAGCAACGTCAACTTGCTTGCCAAAACTATTCGGAATTTCCCACCAGAAAAAGCTGCTAGCCTGTGATAGCCACAGATTACGGCTATCACAGATCCATCATTATTCCACTGAGTCCTGGTAGAGTGCTTGCAACAAACTCCTTCACGTAGCTTGATCATGCGCCAAGACCGGAATATTGCATTTGGCCGCAGCAATAAGAGCAGACAGCAATGGTCCATCCTTGCACAGCCGCATCTGTAAAAACAACTGATTCCTTCCTTCGGCATCACAAGGCCTCTGCCACGCACTATCAGCGCGCACGCGTACGCCTGCGCGCGGCCTTCCGTGACTCGCTCCGACGTGCAGTTGCCAACGGCGACCACAGCTCTTCCCTCATTGCTCGGAAGCAGTAAATTGACAGAATATCCGATCGCAACGAGAATGCTGCGCAGTGCCTGTCATGCTTGCGCCTGCGCCGACGCACAGCTATGACGTGTGACGCAGCAGCCAGCCCATGGCGGCGAAGCATGCGGCGGTCAGGTACGCCTTGAAGGTGGCGTCGCGTCGTTCAACCAGTCACCGACGGTCCGGCAGGTGCGCCCACTTCGATCCCGTGTGATTCCAATCACGCAGTAACCTCGCTAGTACGAGCACCAGCAAGCATCGCAGCAAGTTCTTCATCTGATCGCGAGAAGGTGCGTCACCGGTGAAGCAAAGATTTGCGCTACCAGCAGATTCCTGATCGTTGGCAGTGGCGCCCTCCTTTGATTTTTGTGTCTTATTCGCAGGGCAGGTCTCATGGAATTTCTTGTGTGACGTGCCTGTAGCAGGCTTCATGGCAGCATTCCTCAATTCCTTACCATTGAACAATGATTGAGCCAAGCTCACCATATGACTGGCAAGAATAAGAACGCTTAGGGATGTGAAGCAAAAATGCCAGGTTTGATGTTCCTCTTCTACGAAACTGCTGGACGCAAAACTGAGAATGTGAAGCACTATTCCAAGCCTAAGGAACCCTCTCACCGCCGTTTGCTTGTGGTTGTCGCGGGTCTGCTGATTCTGTACACTGTTGAAAGACTTGTCACGAAGTACAGAACTCACACAGCTTGCGATCGCGCATGCCACAGCAGTTGCACTGCCTGCCACTGCCAGCCCTACCATTACCAGTATCTCAGGACTGCTCTCACACACGGCACTGGTGCGCGCTACACCTGTGCACGCCCACAGGTGGGCTGCAATTATACTGATACAGAGGCACATCCACAAAAAAATAGCTGCTTGTGGTATTTTGATCTGTAGGTAACACAAGCACTATAGCACCTAACCATAGCAGTACAATGCCAACTGTCATGGAATATTTATCGTACCGGGACAGTTTTGCAGTTATAGTCTAGCAGCAATGCTTGTCATTGCCTGTTAGTACATCTTTGTGACTCTATCAACTGTCTCGTGGTTTACTGTAAGCTTGTCCCCTTGACGTAATGCTTTAAGATACTTGTTGTGTAATTCGACCGCGTGCTGATATTCCCAGAAGCCAACCTCTCCGTCGATGTCATCAGAACGTCTTCTCAACAGACGAGTAAGCTGGAATGCATTGACTTGCAATACTTTTAGCATTGCCTTTTCGCTCATGCTGCTTTCCAGCATTTCATGTATGGCTACACCTAAACTGTTCTGTGGGATCGGAAACCCGAGCAAGGCCGCCAGAGTCGGCACAAAATTTACTTGCTCGACACGCCTAGCCGATTTAAACGCCAACTCCGGCCGCCAGCTCCTCCGACAGATGGCGCATCACGTTCGTGTCGACGACGGTGTAATCGGTGACGAAGAACGAGGTAGTGCTGTCGCTGCGCACAAACTCCCCCGGAAACAGCTTCAGCCATGTGTGGCGAATGTACTGTATCCGATTTGAGCTCAAGTTGGAAGAGTTACGCGTAGTAAATCGTAGGTATTATAAGGCTAGTAAATGACGAATTTCCCTTGTTTATTGATGTCACACTCCTCCCTATTATCTACTCCTGATATATATATAGGACATGTTATATCGGCCCTGTGTGCCAAATTCCATGACAATCGTGTAAATACAGCACAAGTTACAGGTTCTACAATATTTCCACAAAAATGTTGTTACCATGGCAACAATGACTCCGCCCACACCAAAAACGATTGGCGTCTTCGCTTTACCATAACGCACCTTCATGCCAAATTTGAAGATTATCCGAGATCGGGTAAAAACTGCCCACCAGGTCACTTCGACCTTTATTTCACCTTTACCTGGACATTGATCACATTTCTCTTCCGCTCTCTAACTCAGCCACTAATTGACCTAGCGCGACCAAACTTGGTATGCTTACACATCTTGGGGAGAAGGTCTGTCGCATACCAAAACCACCACTGCCCTTGACCTTAGTTTGACCTTCACCGTCGACTTACATTTCCTCTTCGGCCTCCTAGGGTAACCAGATTCCATATACTTGCACATCTGAGGCACACCAGTTGTCTAACAAACCTTTGTCTTTGTGACTTATTTAACTTTACCTGCCTTCTACGTCCTTACAGAGATATTCTATTCATACTAGATCACGGGGGATACATGTAGTTGGCGACAACTGCTCGTTTCTAGTTAGTTATGCCACATCTTGGGTTTTACTAGTAAGTAGAAACTGCCAGAACGCCAAAGTAGTCTTATAGATTACCAACGATTTCATTAATCAGCAACAATTGTTAAGTGGCTGACATCTATGTAGTCAAAAGTGTCATAGAGCTACTTATCATCAGTAGGCTGGTGCTGTTGGAGGTTTCATGTGTGCTTGGTCTTATACAGGAGGGCTTTCTCGGCAGAGTAACTACAGCTTAAATGTGTCATTGATGTGGCCAAAGATAGTTCGATGTCCTGAAATTGTACACCTTAATTCCACTTTAGGTCGTTCAATAGTCATGGATAGCTAGCTACACGGATGTTACTTTTGTGGGTGTAAAATTTATTAAATAAAAACAGGAGCGAAGGTAGTGTGCTACACGTTGAGAAGGAGAAGCCAGTGCAAGGTAAGAAACAAGTACGCAGATGTGACAGCACCTTTGCCTCCTCCTCCTCCTCCTCCTCCTCCTCCTCCTCCTCTACCTTCTCTTTCTCCTCATCTTTCTTCTTCATAGTCTCATACAGTTACGTAATTTTTGCCTTGCAGGAGAAGGGGATGCCAGTCCCCAGAGTGTACAGGAAGCCCTGGTTGAAGGAGGGATTTCGTACGTTCATGCTGTTCTACGCTGAATGGCTCGTGCAGACGTCTGTGCGTGTAGACCCTCATCCGTGGGACACCTACAGACGCAAGGAGGATGAGCCGGTCACCGAGCCATCAGGCCGACTCATGCGCCAGCACTACGAGGCATTGAACAGCCTGGAAGATGCACACAGGGAGACACACAGAGAGAAGCATCTGCAGCCAGCACCAGCACAGCAGCGCCGGCAGGTTGTCAGGCCGACCAAGCAAAAGTTGCTTCATCAGAAGGCTAGGAGATAGCCTTATGTAGTGCAATAGACTACAATATCTCAATATTCTTATTTAAAGTATTAGTCACTGATCACGTGATCACAATCACTGATATGTGTAATTGACTGTAACTTCTCATTTTCGCACTATAAGGCTAGATAAAGTTAAAACTTATAAGTACACAATCACCTAACGTGTAAACTCTACCTAGTCAAAGTAGAATATGTAAAGATTTTGTATCAAATCATATGAAAGACAATACAAGTTTCCTTTAAAATACATTATCTTAAGTATTTTATTTATTCAAATGTTATTCAATATACTCTTATTAGTAGTTTTCGGTTAGTACTAAATAATGCAATTTATATGACAATGCTTTAATTTTGCAATTCGCATCTTTACTTTAATAAATTTGCTCACATAAAAAGTATATGGTGATACAAAAGCAATCAAATAGAAGAAACTCCTAAAATATGAGATAAAATCTGCATCATTATGTACAAGTAATCTTTCAACACCTCAAATAATTTAAGTTTATAATGATTTGTCTTTGTCTAAACATGTCATACAAACTAGAATAAGCTGGATGCCAGCTACAAACACCAGTGTTACCACTGTATGACACACTTCATACAACAGCTTTGGTAGAAACACACTCCAGATGAAGAGGTGATACTTTTCCACGTATACGACCACGCTATAAAATGCCAGCACAAAACATCGACTGCAAAGCAGCATCTGACATGTGCACAGCAGGTGCTGCCCTCTGATGCCAGACAACTGCAATAAAGTTCTTAGTAGGCACAGCAAGCACAGCACTGGTCCACAATATGTTGCCGCACAACTCAGCAGAATAAACAGAGCACCCTGATGGCCAGAAAGCCCCACGTATCCTGCAGCAACGTCAACTGTTGCCAAACTATTCGAATTTCCCAGCCAGAAAAAGCTGGCCTGTGATAGCCACAGATACGCTATCACAGATCCATCATTATTCCACTGAGACCTGGTAGAGTGCTTGAACAACTCCTCCACGTAGCTTATCATGGCCAAGACCGGAATATTGCTTGGCCGCAGCAAAAGAGCAGACAGCAAGGTCCATCCTGCCACCAGGGCATCTGTAAACAACTGATCCTTCCTTCGGATCACAGCCTCTGCCACGACTATCACAGCGCACGCGTACGCTGCGCGGGCTTCCGTGACTCCGTCCGACGATGCCAGTTGCCACGGCGACCACAGCTCCTCCCTCCTCGCTCGGAAGCAGTAAATTGACAGAAATCCGATCGGCACGAGAATGCTGCGCAGTGCTGTCAGCTTGCGCTCGCGACGCAACAGCAGGGTGACGAGCAGCAGCATAGCGGCGAAGCATGCGGCGGTCAGGTAGTGAAGGTGGCGTCGGTCGTTCAACCAGTCACCGACGTCCGGCAGGTGCGCCCACTTCGATCCCGTGTGATTCCAATCACGCAGTAACCTCGCTAGTACGAGCACCAGCAAGCATCGCAGCAAGTTCTTCATCTGATCGCGAGAAGGTGTGTCACCACCGGTGAAGCAAAGATTTGCGCTACCAGCAGATTCATGATCGTTGGCAGTGGCGCCCTCCTTTGATCTTTGTGTCTTATTCGCAGGGCAGGTCTCATGGAATTTCTTGTGTGGTGTGCCTGTAGCAGGTTTCATGGCAGCATTCCTCAATTCCTTACCATTGAACAATGATTGAGCCAAGCTCACGATATGACTGGCAAGAATAAGAACGTTAAGGGATGTGAAGAAAAAATACCAGGTTTGATGTTCCTCTTCTACGAAACTGCTGGACGCAAAACTGAGAATGTGAAGCACTATTCCAAGCCTAAGGAACCCTCTCACCGCCGTTTGCTTGTGGTTGTCGCAGGTCTGCTGATTCTGTACACTGTTGGAAGACTTGTCACAAAGTACAGAAGTCGCACAGCTTGCGATCGCGCATGCCACAGCAGTTGCACTGCCTGCCACTGCCAGCCCTACCATTACCAGTATCTCAGGACTGCTCTCACACACGGCACTGGTGCGCGCTACACCTGTGCACGCCCACAGGTGGGCTGCAATTATACTGATACAGAGGCACATCCACAGAAAATAGCTGCTTGCGGTATTTTGATCTGTAGGTAACACAAGCACTATGACACCTAACCATAGCAGTACAATGCCAACTGTCATGGAATATTCATCGTACCGGGACAGTTTAGCAGTTAGTCTAGCAGCAATGCTTGTCATTGCCTGTTGGTACATCTTTGTGACTCTATCAACTGTCTCGTGGTGTACTGTAAGCTTGTCACCTTGACGTAATGCTGTAAGATACTTGTTGTGTAAGTCGACCGCGTGCTTATATTCCCAGAAGCCAACCTCTCCGTCGATGTCATCAGAACGTCTTCTCAACAGACGAGTAAGCTGGAATGCATTGACTTGCAATGCCTTTAGCATTGCCTTTTCGCTCATGCTGCTTTCCAGCATTTCATGTATGGCTACACCTAAACTGTTCTGTGGGATAGGAAACCCGAGCAAGGCCGCCAGAGTGGGCACAAAATCTACTTGCTCGACACGCCTAGCCGATTTAAACGCCAACTGAAAGACGGACGAGAAAAACACGAGTGGTGTCTCCACCTCGCTCGAGGAGGCACCGCCATGGCTACCAGCATCGCTCATTCCATGGTCACCGCACAGCACAAGCAGCGATGGAAGCTCACACGTCTCATCGCGCTTCGTCAAGCCTTCGTCTATCATAGCCACCACAGCGTCCATCTCGCGCAGCTTTGGTCCCACGAGCTCGCTCGCGGGTCCCTGCAGGTGGCCGATATGGTCGAGTCCCAAGTAATGCAGTATCAACACGTCCCAGTCGTCGGCTGCCAGCTCCTCCGACAGATGGCGTGTCACGTTCGTGTCGACGACGGTGTAATCGGTGACGAAGAACGAGGTAGTGCCGTCGCTGCGCACAAACTCCCCCGGGAACAGCTTCAGCCATGTGTCATCGCCATGAAAGACGACGCCGCGGCCCGACGCTCTCAGCTGTGCCACAATGTTGTCCTCCACCAGGGCGGCGCTGTTCATGTTGAACACGATGTCCATGAAGCCAGGAATGCTGCCGGTGGTGAGAGCCTTTATCCGTGGCATCGTCACAGTCGGTGGCCTCGCTACGGACGTGAACGCCACTGATCGTCCATTCTGCACTGCTGCGTGTGTATACATCATGTGCGACTGCGAACCCAACACATAGTCAGCTCGCAGTGCATCCACCAGAACGATCACCAGCTTGCCAAATGCTGGTACCAGCAAGGGACCGGTTGTTGATTTATTGTTGCTTTCGTCTTCGGCACTGCTGATGTTGGAATGATTGTCATAATGAACGGCAGGGTCGTGATACGTGGACCATAATGCTTTACCTTCAAATCCGTCGTTTACAACAACCACGCCTCCAATGAAGAAGTAAATTCCTAACATCATAAGTGCAAAACCTAACAGTAACATATTGAACTTTCTACTCATGTCTGCTTTACCTCTCAAACAATATTTAAAATCAACTGCTTCCATTTTGTATGGCAACATGTGAATCCTAGTTTGTCAGGTTTATTGGGGCATACAAAGCCCAAAGCTTTGTGAACTCTTCTTCATATGGATTGCAAATGTTCATATTATTTGTGATGAGGAGATTTTCATGATTTCCTGTAACTGCCTGCATGGTCCAATTAAATGATCCGTTGATAACCACAGCGTTGTCGATCAAGACAAATTTGTGATGCATGAAGAAAGAGGAGCGGTTGTGACGAACTTGAATGCCTAGACAACAAACATAAAAGTGGTAACTGTTATTTTTGTTACTTTGACTATTAGTATAAACAATGGTAATAATTAATCGTCATATGCAATTATAATTTTCACTTGAATGTTTAGTATCTATCTATCTATATGATTACGTCGATCTGTCACTCTTGACAATTACGTACTCAACGGTTTCCGGTGGGTGCAAGAAAAAGAAAAATTAACAAATAAGAATTACAATAGTAAATAGGGAATCATATTAAAACTGTGGATTTATGTTTACAATCGATGTTACCTGCACTTCGAAATGTGCCTATCTGTGATCCCATAGCATTTATAGATTCACCGTCCGTTATAATGCGGACAACAACACCATTTTCGTGCAAATTCACAAGTTCCTGTGCCAGGTCGCGACACGAGATCGTAAAGACGCACACGTCGATTGTTTTTTTGGTTCCACGAATTACTTCTATAAGATCACCAAGTGCTGTCCTGTCATGCGAAAATCGACACTGCTTGTTGTGGCAGCTGCCAGAGAGATGATTTTTGCATACAACACTTTCATCTGGGAAAATTAGTACTTTGTACATAGCACTAGCAGTGCCACTGGCACTGGCACTGCCACTAGTAGTAGTACCCGTACTACTAGTACTACTACTAGTACTACTACAAGTACGGGTACTAGTACTACTACTAGTACTACTACAAGTACGGGTACTAGTACTAGCTGGATCTTTCCAATTCAGTAACCAGTTACTGTGCTGTGCTTTCTGTTTTATGAGCCAATGAATTGAGTAATAGATTAACTCTACTGCTGCCAGGCTGGTTACTGATAGAATTATGACTGATTTCCACATCTTTTAGCAACACATATACTAAAATGTTCACGTTTCCCTGTCTTTACTGTGTTTGGTTACAAAGAGTAGGACGGAGGCTGACATGTTGAATGAGAATGGATCACGTGACGTGTAGCCTATCAGAGGCCGTTAAATGCGCGACCATTTTAAATTTTGTTTTGATACGCGAGCAGAAGATGCGTTTGTAGATTTAACGTGTATTATTGTATATGGTGACTACCTATCAAGCAACATTATGGATAATAACGACGAGGGTGATGAAGGACTGCATACTTTGTATGTCGATGTAGATATAATTACGCTAGGGCTAGAGTGTCTGTGACTGTGTGAGTCGGTGGCCGTGGGATCACCGTAATCCGTATCACTGGAAGTTACGCTGGCAGCGGGATCAAGTCTCATTCGGGGCACACCACGCTCTGCCGCTCACGCTACATAGTACACTATAACACACACAACATGGTATTATGCGTGCACTGTATACAGTGTAGCCGTAGGAGCTGAATTCAGACTTGATTCCAGTGCCAGCAGTGCCAGTGACAGAGCAGTGGCGCTGATAGGGTCGGTTCAAGGATAGAGAACATTCTAGAGTGTCGCCCTGGGGGACATAGCGCAGTGCTCGAAATAAGGAAAAAAATGTGGTTGTCCTGCGGACAACCCAGGCATCGAATCGGGTTGTCCGCAACAATTTCTGGTTGTCCCAAAAAAATATCCCCAAATCTCCTATTTTCAATCACATAATAATATGGTCAGAAAACACCCAAAAACACTGGTGTAGCCAGGATTTTTTTAACAGTGGGGGCCAAAAACAGCAAACTGCGCAAAATAGTGGATGACTTAATATTTTAATGGCTTCTC